ACCCCCACACCCCCACCCCCTCCAATCGACGAGATTTATACCATTTGGGAGATAGGCTGCTTCTACTCTGCCTGCCAGGGCCAATCCAGCTGAGAGGGATACAACTTCCTAGCAGTTAGAGAAGGGGGTAATAAAATAATGTACATTCTCCGCACACAGGAATTGAACCCAAGTCGTGACCTCAGTGCTTTCTTCTTGTCCTATCTCCATTTTTAATAACAGTGAAAACAATTCATAACAAAGGGTGAGCTAAAGAAGAAGTCACACTTTCAATTTTTATAAAATGGAGATGGGACAAGAAAGCACTGATGTCGCGCAGTATTTCTGCGTGCTATGGTGGAGTGTTTTACGGCGCTCGTAACTGCATACGGTCATATAAGCGCGCGGGACACATTAAACATTTTCAGTTGGTAGGAAATTTTTCTTTTGCCCTGGTGGCTGACGAAACCTACTTTTATCGATTTTGGACCTCCAAGGGATGCTTAACGTGCACAACTTGCACACGGGACCTCCGGGATTTTTTGCCCTTATCCGAGAAGGCTAGGTCTTGACCTTTCCTACAATAAGATCATGGGTGTGGCTGAAAGACAGCAGCAAGAAGGAGTCAAGGAGTAGCAGTAGAAAGGCTGCAGAAAAAGTCAGGACCCCAAAGGAGGGGTCAAAAGAGGGGACGAGGTGGGGGCAGAAAGTGGAGACGAAAGCAGACGATAGAACATTGTTAGAGAGCAGGAAAGGGTTTGAAAGGAGAAAATTATGTCGAAGAAAATTTTCCGTCACAATCAGGATTCGAACCCGGGACCTACTGAATGAGAGGCGAACACCTTAACCTCGAGACCACGAGACCCCCGCCAGAAGTTTAGATTAGCAGAAAATTTTCAAAAAATTGTAGAGCGCCATTTCTTTTTTGTTTGTGTGTGTGTCTTTTATTTTAGTGGATGGATCCCTTCGGAACAAGTGGAGTCACGCAGAAAAATCTAGTACGGTATTCTATAAAGGTTGCAAGCTGGCTTTGGTGAGATAGGACGGGATGAAAAGATGGGTGAAAAGATGGAAAGATGGAAACTGTCTGTGTAAGAGTCACAAATTTTTTTTTTTTTTTTTTTTTTTTTTTTTTTTTTTTGGGGGGGGGGTAGGAAGAAAGTGATTGAGGGGGGAGCAAGGGCGGAGGGGAGGAGGAGGTGTGGGAGAGGGGGGAAGAAAAGCAAAGAGGAGTGGGTAATTTTTGCTTGTTAACAGTACTTGCAGAATCCATAGTATGCTTATACTACAAGTAATATTGTTATTATGTTACTATAATGTTTCTATATGTGATTGTGTGTCCGCTTTTGTGAATGTGAGTGTGTGTGTGTGCGCGCGCGCGCGTGCGTG